CCCACCTCATAAAATAACATTAATTTGAGATTATTAATACAACTAATAGTTGATTAATCTAATGATACTTTTAATTGTCAATATTTATCATGAAAAATGTGTTTTTCACCTAATTTCTTATTTTTGTGCTGTTTGATTGATAATTTTTTCCATAAAAAATATTTTCCTACTTTTGATCACATGACCATATTTTCCTTGTGAATAAAGAAAATATTTTCTTTTGAGGAAATGTGATTTTCATTTTCCAGTTAATTCACCATCCCTCTCTCTTCTACTCATCAATAAAAAATAGACAAATATAATATTTCTTAGATAAAAAACTAAATCAATAAAACACATTTAATTAACAATTTCCATACAAATAAGTTCTAGACAATTAAATTGCATAGAATATATTTTACTTTCATGCAAATTTCATGCTCGTAATAAGACACATCCTAATTTTTCTTTTCAATTATTTTGTTTTGTTAGCGGTGATGTATTATTATCATGAAAATTATCACTTATTTATACATGTCGATTTATCAGTTATCGATTTAATAACATAATTTTAGGAAAGTCACCTAAAATTAGCATTTAAATAATTCATGCACTCTTTTCAAAATCTTCTTTCTCCCCTTTTCTTATCTTCTTCTTCTCTTCTTGGTCCGGTGCGAGTTTCCTGCACGCACACTTTTTCTTCTTCTTTCTTCCATTTTCTTCTCTTTTCTTGGTGCAGCACGAGTTTCCTGCAGGCACACTTTTCTTCTTCTTTCTTCCCTTTTCTTCTCCCCTTCTTTTTCTCTTCTTGGTCCAGTGCAGGCCAGTTCTTGGTGCAGAACGAGTTTCCTGCAGGCACACTTTTCTTCTTCTTTCTTCCCATTTCTTCTCCCCTTCTTGGTCCAGTGCAGGCAGGCCTCTACGTACGTAGCTCTGCCATTGACCATACAAGCTCCATAGATATATAAAGGTATACAAGCGCCATAGATATATAAAGGTATATAATTACTTATGTTCTTTGTTTATTAAGTGATTATTTGAGAAAGTTTTAAAAGTTTGCTAAAGACTTGAGGCTAAACTCAACAATTAATTTTAATTTCATAATTCATCAACTAATCTGCTTAAAATTTATCAAAAACTTTGTCAAACAACCCACTCAAAACGTAGGCAATCTTGATTTGTTAGGTCATCTACAAAATTAAAAGAAGTCTGGATTTTTAGCCCCGGATTGACAACCATTATTTGTCAAATATAATATTTTGAATACTGATATTTAAGAAATGTGTGATTAAAAATGATTTCGTAAAAGAAAAATTCAAATAATGATTATCAAACCGGGCTTAGTGAACTGTAGAGTAACAATCGCTGCTATTATGAACAAAACCTAGGCAGAAAAACAACTTATAGATTTGGCTTATGAAAGGAAAATAAAAATAAAAAATTACAACAGCAATAATTGATTTCAACCCACCTAATCAATGAAATAATATCACACAAAAATTTAAAATTTTTCATCAATCTACTATTTTAAAATGCATTCCAAACAAAAAACGGGGCTCAAAAGGACCCTTAATACCCCATCCTGGTACCAAACTAATATCGACCTAGGGTTGTCAATTCGACTTGTCGGTTCTGCGGCCCGTGGCTAGGCCGGGGAAAAGCCGGAGTCGAGGGGCCGAACCTTATTTTGAAGCGTCAACTCGAACCCATGCCAACTCATGTCACATGCTATTTTGACCCGTGACAAGCAGGACCTATAAAAACTAAAAAATTAAAAAGTAAACCCAGTTACATGATGGCATTTAAAAAAATTAATTAATTCGTGAGCCGGCTCGATTTGGTCTAGCTGGCTCGACAAGGCTCGAGTCGAAAGCTTAGGTTGAGTCTATATTTTTTGGCCAAGCAAAAGCTCGATTCAAGCAGAAAAAGCCCGAATTATTCTTACTCGAACGGAGTCCGAACCTCAAGTTTCGGCTTGCGAGCTGGCCCGAGTCGACTCGTTGATGTCCTTACACCAACCCCACCTGAACTATCCTCTATATACATAACACCCAATTGATCATATTTTTTTCTGCTTCATTCTATACGTTTACCCAACCCAAAGTACTTTCATTAATTTTATAAAATTTAATGAGATACTTAAGCACGGCGACTTTAGTTTTCTTAAGCAAAATGCTCATCTACCTTCTCCACTTGTCAAATGTTTGATTAACATATATATACCGAATAATAATAATAATAATAATAATAATAATGGACAATATTAACAAAAAAATGATATATACAATCGAATAATTCTGCAATTTCGGGACAATAGGTCGTCTTTGTGAGTGAGACATGAATGCTAGTTGTACACCCATTAAAGAAATAAAGGATATGCATTATTTTAGTGGTTTGGTATGATATACGGCTGTGGTCTTGTGTGAACTATCAAGTGAACTTCAAAGTTCCACGTACCAAACTTTCATTAAATTCTCCTAACTGTCACGACCTCGTTGCTGCTAACGAAATATACAGTCTTGTGCAACACTAAACCTGCCCACAAGGCTGGAGTTAGGTCCATGAAATGCATTTATATAATGGAAACAAGAATCGTGTGGGAAAGGAAAAGTGAACAGATCGATACATATAGAGAGAGAATTCTAAAAAGAGAGAAGAAAAAATGGAGGTGGATAGAGTGCAAGCCATTGCTTCTCTCTCTACGAACGTAGACACAATACCCTCAGAATTCATCAGATCAGAAAATGAACAGCCAGCAATCACCACCTTACATGGGGTGGTTCTTGAAGTGCCGGTGATCGATCTGAGCCATTCAGACGAAGAAAATCTCGTCAAATTAATTGCAGAGGCAGCCCAAAACTGGGGACTTTTCCAAGTTGTGAACCATGGAATTCCAGATGAAGCCATAAGCAAGTTGATTGAAGTTGGAAAAGAGTTTTTCGAACTGCCAAAAGAAGAAAAAGAGGTCATTGCAAAAACCCCAGAATCTGGGATTGAAGGATATGGAACAAGTTTACAAAAAGAAATTGACGGGAAAAAAGGTTGGGTGGATCACTTGTTTCATAAGATATGGCCTCCTCCTGTCATTAACCACAAGTATTGGCCAAAGAACCCACCCTCTTACAGGTGAGTATTTTTTGCTTCTCTTCGTCCGAGTGGCGTGGCTTTAGTAAAACATGTTAGACGAGAATCGGGATAGATCAAAATTAGCCCATGTTTGTCATCCTTTAAAATTTTAAATTGTTTATTACGGGATTATTCTTCACCACACATTTACATGATAATATATTCTACGCACGAACCAATAAAATTTCCTTACTTTTTAACGACTCATTTTTCATCAATCTACTATTCTATAATACATTATAAGGAATTAATGGCTCTCAAATATGGCCTTAATGTGATCTTTGTAATTGCTGGAGATCTAGTTTGAATTTTCTAGTAGATCTAGCAATTAACTGAAGGGAGTAACATAAAAAGAATTCATGCGGTCGATCTCAAATTATTGAGTATAAGACTTTCACTTCTTCAAAAAGGATGTTCAAGATGTGAACAATTCTTCTATAAATACCAAACTTTTTGCAGAGAAGCAAACGAGAAATATGCTGAGAAGCTCCGAGAGGTGTCGGACAAATTGTTTAAGTACCTATCATTAGGGGTTGGACTGGAAGGGCATGAAATGAAGGCGGCAGTCGGTGGGGACGACTTGATTTACTTGATGAAGATTAATTACTATCCGCCATGTCCGAGGCCGGATCTGGCTCTTGGGGTGGTGGCGCATACCGATATGTCGAGCCTTACCATTCTTGTACCTAATGAGGTCCAAGGGCTTCAAGTTTTCAGAGATGGTTATTGGTATGATGTTAAGTACATTCCCAATGCTCTAATCATTCACATTGGAGACCAAATTGAGGTATATGTATCTGCTCTCTTTCTCAAAACATTGATGCCAATGTCGGTTCCCTCTAACTCAATTTTCCATGTTGAACCGCTCTATGTAAAAGTTAGTACTTTGAAGTCGAACTAGCTAGTTCAACTAGTTATGTAAAAGTTACTTATATTGGTTTTTAATCCCTATTTAGCTCCAATTGAACATTTGATCATTGACTATTCGGATCAATGTCGAGCTAAATTTTAAAACACTGTGCACTAAAAGCTCATAAACTTACATTTTTGATGCTCTTTGATAGATATTGAGCAATGGAAAGTATAAGGCCGTGCTCCACAGAACAACCGTGAACAAGGAGAAGACGAGGATGTCGTGGCCGGTGTTTTTGGAGCCACCGCCGGAGCATGAGGTTGGACCTATCTCAAAGCTTGTTAATGAAGAGAATCCATCAAAATATAAGACAAAGAAGTACAAAGATTATGTCTATTGTAAGCTCAACAAGCTTCCACAATAAGGATGCAACTTTCTATGTATTTCTATTGCCGCAGCTTGGATTTAAATAATTGTTCCATTTTCAGAATTCAAGTGACTAAACATTTATCATTTATCAAATTGGGAGAAGCGAAAGCAAAAGAGAGAACTGACAACAGAGGTCATTTCACAAGAAATTGTACAATATGATAATAGGAGAAATAAAATGAATATTAAAAAGGGAAAAAGGGAAATATTTAGACCCTGTTTGGGAGGAATTAAATTTTTTTACAGTAAATCAATTCTCATTTTCAACCACACATTCTTCAATAAACTAATATTTTTTATCACATCAATAATTTTTTCTTCTTTTTCAATCATACATTTCCCATCATATCACTATTCAAAATTAATTCTTCCTTCCAAACTCCCTCCCAAACAAGCACTTATAATTTTATTCAACAATGGTATTTTTCGTTTGTTGTGATATGACATGCCCAAATAAAATAGTGAAATATAGAAAATTAATCGACACCCAAATCCCATAAAAGTTAATTGAATATTGTGAAATACTGATAAGGCAATGCAGTCCTTGTCTGGCACAATTACACTAGGGATTCGTTTAGTATGCCTTTTACTTATGTTTTCAGAAAAGTCAAATTGAATTAACTTTCTTTAAAATCTCTTTTAATTACCAGTAGCACTTTTATAAAATTAGTCAAATAGATTCAAAAGCAACTTTTAAGTCAATGTCTTTAGACTTTTCAAAAGTAATGCCAACGTGCCCTTAGTCCCTCTTTGAGCTTCATTTTTCTTCAAAACTCAATTTCAATCACGCATTATTTCATAAAATAATTTTGTACGTAAAATCAAAAAATTTTCTCTATTTTTTACACACTCTTCAAAAAATCACAATTTCAAAATACATTTTCCTCGAAAAACAGTCTCAAATGGGGTGCTTAATATGATATTGGAATACATTTTGGATTTGCTCCTCCACTGATGTTTACTCCATTAATAAACTGATCCCACCAACTTGTCCTCTTATCTTTTGGACTTTTGCATATAAAGGTCTAAAGCATGTTGATTCGCAAATCATAGTTGCTACATTCGGTTTGGGTTAGGCCAAACAAGTGACGGACTCCATATAACTTTGATGGCCGCATTTGAATTTCAGGTATGCAAATTTGAAATAAGTATTTTAAAAGTACAAGATATGTAACATCACTTTTTGGGTAGGTAGATGATAAAAATATTGTGCTAGCGGATTGTTCCTACATCATCATTACAGTTAGTCACAACATCTCCATTAATATAGCAAGACAAGGTAAAATAAAATAAATATGTGACTAACTTGAAACTGTAATATATAAATTATTTTATAGCATCAGTTTCTTATGTAGCCTCCATTGGGCAAAGTTTATAAATTATTTATAAATTGTAAAATTTTATTTTATTTTATTATACAACACTAGATCAATATATATTATTTACTTATTAATATGTAATTTCTACCTATTTATATATTAAACCGTTTATAAGTCGAAACTATCCAGTTGCCATTAATAAAGAGACAGTGATTACATGCGGAGTACAATTTGGATCAAATGAGTAAGGGTAATTATATTATCACTACAAAATTTACTTGTTACACCACCTTTTTATTATTTACATAAATGACTATAAGTAAAATTACTTTATTAGCCATACTTTTAAATTTACTTTTTAACATTAAACAATTTTCATAGACACCACAACACAATCATTAAATTAACAAAACTTGTCCATTATTTCTTTTGCAGTGGTGCTAATTCTTTAAAATGCCTCTTTTATTACGGTGGTGGTTTATGTTGTCGAAAATTCTCCTATCCCAATCGAAAGAACAAATAAAAAAGCAGGAAAAACGGAAAAAAGAAGAAGACGAAGCGAGGTATGCCAAAGCAAATCTCCTTAAGACAGATTTCGCCCCCCAACAACGTGCAAACAGGATTATGGACGTCTGTCTCCCAAGATACAACGCTTTTCCCAAAGTCGATATTGCACAATACCTACCTTGACGGTCGAACCAAATAATGATCGTA